GTGAGTTTACATTTTCCTTTAATTTTGCTTATTCTAACGACTTTTTATCGTTATTCGTGTTTTCAGTATTTAGGTTTTATTTTATTGTTGTGAATTGTTTTTTTTTCTTTCTTGAGAACAGAATAGAAAACAAATATAAAAGTACCTGAGAAATTTTATAATAAAAGTCTAAAAAAAGAAAAATGGAGAGAAAAGCAAACAGATAAACAAAGAAAAATGCATATTAAAAAGTCAAACATATGTGTATATATCATGACCTAATCATTTAGTCGATTAACATACGATAACCTCCCTAACAAATTTATTTATACGAAAGGATATCAAATTGAGGACAATCTGGGATGGTAAAGAATTAAAAAAAAAAAAAAAAAAAAAGAGTCAAGAGCCTCGTTTCTATTCTTACTCTTTAGTCGTCAATATTATTTTTCTAGGTGCTTTTAAAAAAGAGTTTGTCGAAATGTGACAGATATTTGTTTTTTAACTTTTTTCTAAAAGTGTTTTTCACTCCCGAAGCGGGAATGATATTTAAATTCGTTTTAAAAAGTCTTTCCTTGATTTATTTTCTTTCCGTCCAAAGAGCAATGTGGCAGATTTTATCATATTTACTCAACTGTTTAATTTTAGTAGTCTACCAAACAAGCTCACCGCAACTCCATATAATTATAGAATATAATTATTAATTATATGGAGTTCCTTAACTGGCAGAGACTTAATATTTTAAAATAATTGCCGGCGAACAGCCGGTCCTAAATTTCCTGCAATCATCACGTAGTCTATTATTCACCATATGATATTATTCGAACGTGCTAATGAATTTCGCATATAATTATTAATAAAAATCTAAATTCAGTGAGGTGCAAAAAGACAACATAATTATAACAGGACAGATGACTACCACGCGATTTAATTTTAATAAATTTAGCAACAAGCTGAACACGATAAAGGGAGAGAATATCTCTGCTGTATCGCTGAGTAATAGTGAATAATTAGTGTGACTGAAAAAAAAAAGTCCACACAGCTGAATTTCAATCTGAAACCTTCACTGTATAATATTCGATCTATGTGATTAAAAAATAATAATATTCACCATTGAATGAAGTGCCCTGATAGAAAGTAGGTTAGGCTGAAAAAATATTTATATGTAAAATAAATGCTTTGTTATCACAAGGAGGTGGACGTATTTACTCGTGTAAAACTGTAAATGATTCTATTTTCTTTCAACAGATTTAGGGCACTACACGCACACATACACACAGACGCATATATAAAGGGGTCTGCTATAGAGATACATTGAAGAAAGTTCAATGCTATGTTAACTAGCAGAGCCTTAATATTTCTAAATAATTTCCCGGTGAACAGTAGCCGGTCCTAACTATTTCACGCAATCATCACGTAGTCGATTATTCACCGTATAATATAATTCGAACGTGCTAGAAAGGATTTAAAAAATTATTTAAATAATCAACAAATACTTTGGTCTTTCTTCATAATAATAATAAGAAGAAAGATTTTTGTATCAAGTTTTGATGTTCCTCTTGCTATGCTCTTTGTTTATCGAATTAGTGGAGGTACCCCCGATAATGGCATTTTAAATGCCATTATCGGGGGGGAAAAAGGTACTTGTGAGTTATCTGTCGCCACTTTTTAAATTAATTTTTCAAATTTTACACAAATACAGATGTGTAAAAAATATACTATTTGCTTCTTAAATTATATATTGTTTCTCTAAATAAACATTAATCGTATTACTCGAGTGAAATGACGCGTTGATTGCCCGCAGGATGATGTCGTACGGTTGCCTTTTACACATGAACAGTTAGGTCTCAAGATGGTGTGCCGTTCCTCGGTAACGCTTGTTCCTCCACTTTTCTGGTCCCCTCAAACATTCGATAGTTTGAGTGTGGACTCCGGTATTTATATCAACGAAATCGTTTCGACAATTAACTTAACAAAAACCAAAAAAAAAACCATCTAACTTTATAAAAAAGTGGCGATAGATAACTCACAAATACCGGAAAAAATGTATGACAAAGTGAAAAAAGTTTTCGTGTGAAGTGATTTTCCAAACGTAGCTTGGATGTGGCACAAGGCCGAAAGTAAGGGGCACTCAGTGAGGATCGAACTCACTACACATTCGTAGTAACCATTACACCACTTCGAGGTGCCCCTTTTCGTGTGATGTGTTTCGTCTTTTAGAATCTCATCGGGTTAAATTTATGTTGGTGCGACTGCACATGCGCACGAACGAGGGATGCCGGGAATTTTAAATGACACCACGTTGGAGTAGCCTAAAATGATTTTCTAAGCGTTGCTTAGATGTAGCAGAATGCCGAAAGTGTGGGGCACGCAGTGAGGATTGAACTCGCTACTTAGTCGTAATTCATCTAACAAGACGTTGAAATACCCAAAAATGATTTTCTAAGCATAGCTTAGTTGTGGTAGAAGGCCGAATGTGTGGAGCACCTAGTAAGGATCGAACTCATTTCTCTGTCGTAATTACCCAAATTTCATTATGTGTATGGAGATAAAGTTTAACAGTTTTTTGCGATCTAAACTGGTTACTGTCAACCTGGTTGTCCCCATCACAACTTAATTCTGGTGATTGGTACTGACATAAAACGTAACAAAACTTGACATTCACTTTATTATGGACTCTGTGTTTTTTGTTTTATTTCGTTTTTGCAATTGTTCACCCAATACAAGACTGAAGAGCTATTCGTTACTGAATAGGGTTGTTTTATAGACGCGAGAATTTTAGATTATATATGTGTAATGGTTGACCCTTCCCTTGAAGGGGATACGTAGTGTAATAAATAGTGGCTCGGAATTAGAAATCGGTGAGCCGAGTTCGAATTCCTTTCGAATCCATTACATTCACTTACGTGCTAAATCCCTTAGGACAGGTATGAATCCATCTTCTCCCACATTTTTGGATCATGTGTCTGGAAAAATTACTCAAAAAATTGTTAATGCAATATTCACATTTATGAAAAAAAAAATAGAATTATTATTATTCTGACAATGTTGTAACAATGTTTTCGGCTTTAAATAACCCAATAATGGTTGATAAGCCATAAAAAACAAATCGATCAACAACTTGAAGCGGTTAAGATTGTAGTGGTCGAGGAAGCATCCTCTCAGAAGTTCTTTTTTTTAACAGTGATACAAGGCCTGGGAGCCACTCGAGGGAGAGGGTTACAAAACAGCAGGCACAGTTTAGGCGGATATATGAGGAAGATAACGGTTAACCATAGACTTAAACAGGTTAAAATTGTAGTGGCTGGGAAAACATTCTGTTTTGGAGTTGGTTTCCCAAAGCAGCGTTTCGCGGAAGGAAGAACTTACATCCAACCAGTGGAATATAAACCGAAACGGATTAGTTCGCTAAAATGTGCTTAGCATGGCGGTTCTTAGCCGTTAGAACTGGTGGAACTAAGGAATGTACTTCATCTGAACACTTTACATGGAAATAAACGTAGATCAGTGCGATGCTTGCGACGTTCGCGCTTGTGAGAGAGTGGTTGGAGGGTGGAAAATAATTTGTCACCCACAAGGACGCGGAAACGCTTTTGAACTTTATCGAGACTGGAAAGTGAAGACTGGACATCTCTTGCCCAAATATGACAGCAACACTCCATTTTAGGCCTGTGCCACAAACCAACTGCTCTCTTGGAGAATCTATCCTAATGGATTTTCCTTTTTACCAATGTAATAATGGTTCCTGGCTGTAAAGGTCTGAACTGGTAGAACTAGGGAAATTAGCTTACTTGAACATATAGTCCGTTACTTCTGCTATATATTCAGAACCTGCAATGTTATTGGGTCTAACCTAACATCTCGGCTTCAGACAATTTTTCCATCACTGTAAAGTAGATTTCTCGTTTAGTTTCTACAAATATTTTCATGTTAATTGTTCAGATGAACTTTCCGTTATGGTAACACTATTGTGTTTAGTTCCTTGTATACAAATCGGATTCATTGACAATATTCATTGGGGTTTTATTTTTAAATGTTGTTATTTTTATCCCCACAAACATCATCACAGATAAATTATACATATGGGAAATAGTTGGGAATACATAGACTATGAGGTATTATATGGTAGCTGTAGTAAGAATGGTAAGTAAGAATGTGTTGTTTTGGTGTAAGGAACTGCGGTATGTTTGGGACAGTAATCATAGCTAGCCAAGATTAAGATAAGTCAGATTGAAGACCAGCCTTCTGTTATTCCCCCCTTTTGGACTTGTGCCACATTTTTGCATTAAAAGCAAAATAAATATTACTTTCCGCTATGGTATCTAGACTTTAGAAATTTAACCACAGTACTAACTTGGTAATAAGGATTCATCAGTTTACAGTTGAATTGGTTTAATGCAACCGTAAATTCTATGCTAACAGCTTCTTTTCTCGCACTTCTCGCTTACGGAATTCTCTTCCAGCTGTATGCTTTCTAGCCAAATTGGTTCTTCAAAAATTTAATGTCAATCGTTATCTATTGTCTTCTTGAATATTATTTTACTGTAACTTCTAAATAATGTTTCTCGTTTTTCTTATCCTTTGACACTCAGTGTGTCCTAGACAATGTGTCTTTTTACATTCAGTGTGTCTTAGACAGTGTATCCTTTGACACTCAGTTTGTCTTATTGTGTCATTTGATGCTAAGTGTGTCTTAGAAACTCTATCCTTTGACATGTTATTAAGCTTATCAGACAATATGAAAGGAATTTATTGAAAATAGACAAAACTTGTCTATATTATTTAATGAAACGTGTATCAATATATATATATATATATATATATATATATATATATATATATTATCAGGCAAATCTCGTCTGTAATTACTCAGAGTAGGCAGCTTGTGAGCTTTATGCAGTAAATCTACAAAAAATAAAATATTTTGCATTTTATGCATAAATCGGAGTAACCTACGTAATGTTGGATTAGTTGCACAAGATATATTTGCTGATCTGTTTAATTCAGGGTAGGCACTGCCTAAC